CTGCTGTGTTCACGAAATAGGATGGGCATATATTAGTATGTATAAATATATTCTTTCAATATAAGTAGTTTTCTAGACGATCACTTATTTAAATAAACAAGTATATACATAAATATTGACTTATATAGGTATGACATGTAGGATAACGCTACTTCCTTGACCAAGTATTCATTCGAAGTTTTGGATGAATGAATTCCTGCTCCGACTATGTCTATCCAGTGGATGAACATTTAGACGGTTTTCCCCAAATCGAAGATGATATCAACATTGACGTCGAATTACAGCCAAACGGCTGCGAAACGACGGGAATCAGGCGTAGTCTTCTGGTCAGATTGACCTACGAATCGTTTCATCAGGCAAGTTCTTATGAAATGAAGGTATCTACAACAATGCTGTCTCGAGAGGTCCATCGGAATCCAGTTCCTTTTCTTGTATTAATTGACAGACTTGTGGGTGTCTAGAGTGTAGAGCTGCAAGTGAAAGGGAGGGTTATGGTTCCAGTTATGGCTACACTCTCGTACGCCTTAATTCACAATCACAACCATACGCACACAAAGCTCATCAACAAACGTGTGTCCGGCATCATTAAATCGTATAAAAAGTCTAAAAATGATCATTAAATCTTATTTTTAGTTTATAAGTGCGGTTTTTGAGATTTCCAGTTGATGTGATATAAGATTTAATTTTCACATATTCATGTTTCCTTTCGTTTTAATATAGCCTTGCTCCAGAAAAGGTATTCTCGTCTAGACAGGAGTGGACTGCAGTTTCGACCTCGCGTCAACTGGTCTTACCAGCCGCCCTAGCGGGACTCGAACCTTGAAAGTGCATACGAAGTCGAAACTGCAGGCCATATGGAATTGTTTAGAAAAATGAGGCTTGCTTATATGATTGTGAGAAAATTCCACTGTCTTAAACACAATGGGGTGAATACAACTTTTATATGATTAAACTTTGACGATTGAGAAAAGGGGCTCATTATAGGCCAGATTCTCATAGTAGAGACCAAGAATGCTCTTGTTCACGTCCACACCGAGGCACATGATATGCCAACTCTAATGCCCTATCCGTCGGGATACCTTTTTCAGTCGATAAGAGGTGGGCAATTTCGGTAGCATCTTTGAAGAGGCATTGAAGATGCCCCACCAATCGACGGGTGCTTCAACGGCTTGTCTGGCATTCAACTGCTCTGAGTAGATGTCGGTTGGCCAGACGTGCTCATTCCACCGCATACCCCTTTTTACCTGCTTTCGCAGGTGAATAGACAGACGTGTGCCTGCCATGTATGGCGGATGTGGGTGGATGCGAGTGGCTGTGAGTGGGAGTGAGTGTGTGTGAATGGGAACAGGGAGGGCTGACTTGCACAAAGGCAGAAGAGCCATCGTAGACAGGCCTGAAGAGGGCATGGCGTACGGTCTTGTGCACATGCTGTGGGTCTGTGGCCGGCTCTGGTTGACGCAACGCTCAGGTCACCGGTTTCACATGCCCTAAAGGCTAGAGACATTGTGTCTGAGGGTCACGTAAGTCGCCTCTTCACCCGCTTTTCCGTATCGGTCGGCCAATCCGTCCGAAAGTAGGTACCACGCCGATGAACACGGGGCACGAATGGTCTTGTTGAGAGGCTTGTTGGTGTCTGTTGGAGTAGTTGGAGTCCAAGAGATCGGGCACAACTTCAGACCGTCCCCTTTTTGACTGGAACTTCCCGACATTGCGTCCATCGAAGCGTGGGACGTAGTCGTCTCCGCTAGCCTCCCGGCACTTCCCGGCCTCGAGCCCAGGACCCAGGACTAGCCGACTCCGCAAAGCATGCTTCTACCAAAAAAATGCAATATAAGTAGTCA